GTGTGTGTGTGTGTGTGTGAGAGAGTGAGAGAGCGTGCACACTTGGAATTCATTAAGTCAAAACAAAACAAGCGGCAGCAGCTGAGTGTTTGAATGTGTGTCTTGGCTGAGACAACAGAGAGAACAGATTCTGAGAGAGCCAAAAGTGGGGTTCAGTAAAAAACAAAAAGCGAGGAAAAAAAGAAAGACGAAAAGAAAAGAGGGACAGAGAAAGAGAGAGAGAGAGAGAGAACAAAGAAATTAAGTTAAGAAGTCTGTCTGAGAGGGGCACTCAACTTCTGATCCAGACACACTCTACACACACTTTCACAGCGCCTCAGAAGTTTGTATTCACTTCTTTTCTTTCTTTTCTTTTTTTACACTCACACAGAACAGCGAGCTGAGTTGCCAGGGACCATTAAAACCTCTCGCAAGCATTAATCAGATGAGCTGAAGTGAGATGCATATTGATCTCACTCTTCTTGTTTCATCAGATAGAGTGCTCAGGATTGTAGAGGCTACTAAATGTATAGCACATTGTTTGACACATTTTAAAAGCTAAATTCCACAATAACATTCTTCTTTGTAGCTGCAACGATTTCCTGCTTGTTTAAAAGAAAACCACGCTGGATTCATGCTTAGATTGCACCCATGACAGCCATAATACAAAATTAAAATACCGATGAATTTCATTAATGAGATTTAAAAGATTTACGAGACGCTGACTTAATGAAGACGCATCTGTATCAGCAATTTGTTTTATGACCGAACTCGACTTCCTTTGTGGATAACCAAAAAATATTGTCATCTGCAAAACAACCAAGGGAAAATTGCGAAAAATAAATATATCACACATTCAAATAAACATGACCTGTTGTATTTCAGAGCCAAAACAACAACTTCCTGGTAAAGACGGTTTGAGAGCTTTTTTCTGGGAACAGCCTTGAAGTCACTGGTGAATACACAGGCGGTATTCATGCACAGAGGTACAGGAAAATAACTAGGTCAGTAAACCATGGCAGTGACGACGAGACTTAGGTTGTAAATGCAAGTTTGTGTGAGTGTGTGTGTGTGCAGGGCCTACACTTGGCAGGGGAACCCCGTTTGGAGAATATGGTCATGATAAAGGGCGACTACAATGAGCTGGCATGTTGGAGGGGATGTGCTGCCAGTATATCCACCGATCTCAGGAGCATGGGAAGGCAAACACAGAGTTGATCTCAAAGACTTCTAAAGGAGGTCGCTTCCTGCCAAAAATCACTTGCACCTGTCCTTCTGTCTCTGCCTCCCTTCCTCTCCCTGCTCCTCCCAGTCTTCCCCTCTCCACAGTGTGAAACTTTTTCTTTTCTCTACTCCACCGCTCCTCCCTTCTGTTTCGGCCAGTGCCAGGTGTAACAGCTCCTGGCATCGTGTTTAGTTGGTCCTGTTCGGGCACTCATGCCAGGGCACGGGAGTCAGCCTTCACACACAAAACACACACACACTCACACACACACACACAAAATAAGCTCTTTAAGAGGGCATGAGGTATTGCCAAGTACTGGCTAGGCTTGTGTTTCATTAGCATCAGATAGAAAGCCTTTCTTCATTCAGCGAGTGTGTGTGTGTGTGTAGTGAACTAATGAAAACCATGGAGCAGGCTGGCCCCTCACTAAACTCCACTCAACAGCACTGCTGGCCATCGGAGCAAGAGAGAATATAAAGAGTGAGACAGTCCTCGTTTTACCTTAGTCCGTCAGTGTTTTTCTTCCCCAGCTGCTAAAGAGTAGACTCGTATTTATGCTTTACTACAATGAACAAGGTCACTTGGTTTTAATCCTGCACTTTCTGACTTCGAGTTCATCTCTTAGCAAGTAGCAGAAAGAAGAAGAGACAAGATGTACAAAATGTAACGTCTCTGGAACAACCTCCTGCAAAATTGTTCTATTTCTTATCTCTTCCGATTGGCCTTCTGTTTCAAAGCCAGGTAGATGAAAGCTGGTAATGACCGAGCTCAGATTTGGAGGTTACAGTATCGAATGACGGCTCGGATGAGACGTAGGCAGGTGCTTGACGCGCAGTGAATGGAGCCTGTATGGGCCGCTCATTACAGAGGGACATCTGCTGCTGTCCGCGCTCCCAGGCTCCGCCCCTAGCTTTACACTGATGCTTTGATGCCCTGTCAATGTGTGTGTGAGCAGAACAAAACAACACACAGGCTCGCACCCACACTCTCAAACACACAGGCACACACACAAACACACCTGCCACCTACAGGAGCCCGCTGTTTGAAAATAAAAATAAAATTACAAGGAAAGAAGGTTTAGGGCTGCTGGCTTGCAAACTAAAAATACGAGCATGAATGCAGTTGTGCACTCTGTGTGTGTGTTTGCATGTGGTGCTGAGGCAGAGGAAAAACCATAAGCTCTGAAACACACGTAACATCCATTTCAATCTGCTCACACTATAGAGCGCGTGTATTTGCAGCTAAATCATATTTTCCAGCTTGTTATTTCAAAACCAGCTTGGCGCTGAATGCATCAGAAGTGTCATATTTTCCCAATTTTCCTTTATTCCATTTTTCGAGAACATTTGTCTAAGAGAGCAGCGTCTCTGTAGCCAAAATTGCTATTTCTCACAAAAAAAAATCTGTTTGAATAATTCACTCTTGATCTAAACGACTTCATGAAAAAATTATGGCGGCCAGAAATTAGTGGTTTATTGTACTGTGCAGCAACTTTTTTTTAAATAATTGATTTAAGAAATTCATGGCAACATTCATTTAAGTGGTTGATTATAAATGACTGAAACAGCATTTGTGTTGAAAGCTGAGGGGGTGTTCTCATTAAAAGGACTCAGTGCTCTTTAAATGGTGATACTATTTACACTTCTCTGTTGACTGTCATCTTCTATTACGGAGCTAATGGGCAACTTGCTCTTCTCCAAACAATTCACTGCAAGCACACTTAAGAATGAGGGAAAGGAGGATTGTTACGGGAGATTTTGCAAACAGGATAAATGGGAAGCATGGAGAGACAATGGATAACAGAAAAAAAGGTCAATAAACTGTTTAAAGGAGTTTGTACTAGGTGGCAGCTTCTTAAACCTTAACCTCAATTCATCGCCACTATAACCAAGTTCACACTTTACGATTTGCGCACAATTTTCAAGTTGCTGATGAGTTTTACAAGTTGTCAACAAAATTCCCAGATTGGAGGAAATATTTGATCAGCAAATGCCTTCAAAGTTGTGACTTGAGAGGCCGGACGGTGCGTCGCAGACTCTGACTAGATTTCTAGGATGCTAAATATCTGGATGAGTCTATGACAACTATAGCCAATCAGAGCGCAGGATGGGGTGAATAGGGTGAAGGTATATTAAGAGGTGAGATGCCCCCTGACCTTTTATACTGCACACATCTGTAATTAGGAAAAACCAGCAATAACATGCTTGTGAAAGACAGTGCAGTCCTGGTTCAGGTGGAAAAAACTGAAAGCCTGTCAAAGGGTTGGTGTCAGACTCCGCTGAAAAATATGGCCTCAGCCACTCTCTCAACTGTTTCGAACTGTGACATCACTAAAGTGTTTCACCTTTCCTCCAGCTCGATGTGTCATTCTGTGAGCAGGGTGACATATAAGAGCAGGAGGATGTCTGGTTTGGAGGCCAGACAAACTAGTCAGGGGTTTTACCCGGGGAAAGATCGTGCAGTGTTTGCTGATGCCAGTCAGTTGTGTCGTACTGCTCTGTGATCCTATGACCTTTGAGGAGTATGATCTTAAGATGCACTTACAGTTTGCAACATGTGTCCTAAGTTCCTCATCTCACTTGTAAACTCATCTGTTCACACTCACAGTAACAGCAGCAGCCGTCTTTGGCATGAATTCACACATACAGATGCCAACAGACACACACACATCTCCACTTATACAAGAGCCAGGGCTCTATAAAGCTCTTTAATGACCCATTGACTCACAAACAGGATTAGAAAACCTTATAAGCATCTCGCCTCACCTCTTCTTTGCAGGACCGTCCTCGCAGTACTCGCTGCTCCCGTCCAGGCCCTGAGAGCGCAAGGACCCATCTTCTTTGTGGCTGCCCTTTGATCCCGAGCTGTTCAGCTGCCCATTGGCGAGGGAACCTGGAAAACACAAAGCGCCAAAAAGGCTTAGAGTCAAGGCCAACATATATTTTACAGACCACTCATCTGAAACCTTCCGCCTCCGGATATCTGGCATGGCCCTTTGTCAGTGAGCATTCCCTGTGTCTTGATATATGGCTTAAATATTTGGGGAGTATACAAGGTTTTTATCTGACAGTGTTTATAAAGCCTTCTGTTTTTGCCTTTGATTTAGTGCAGATACATTTCTATTGATAAGGTTAGCTATGTTTTAATCCGACAGTAGAGCGTAGAGAATACAGGAGAAATTGGAAAGACAGTCAGAGTGAAGAGGAAAAATACAGAGTGAAAACAAATTATTCAAGAATCTAGACTGAAAAATACAATGACATTAACAATGAGCATCAAGGAGGTTAGTTTCAGGGTGATCGGAGAGTTACCCGTCCACATTTTCTCTTGTTGAATGCCAATGCTGCTGACGTATGGATGTGCGTCCCTTGACAATGAATTGATAAAAAAAAAGCCCCAGGCAGCGGGGGAAGTGAAGGCATTTTGCTGGACTTGACATTCTCAGCGAGCCCAATTGACAGAGACCTAATTAAATATTTAGCAAGCAACACACAAACAAAATCAGCCCCCGGACAGATTCTTAAATCAAAAGCAACAACGTGCTCCGAGAATTCAAATTAGGTCAAACAGAGGGGTGCAAGTCAATGGTAATTAAGGGAGACAAGAAAATTAAATAAGTTGCACAAGGTGGTATCGGCAATTCTTTTTGGAACGTGTCATATAGGTCCAATTAAAAAATAGAGTGTGAACCAACCAGAGACAAAGGGTCAGTCACATGATTTAATCACACTGATTAGATAACATCAGATTTATATGATTATGTCACGATTTGACATTAACGGTATTCAACAATTTTACCTGATTTGAAAAGTATCCTTACCCGACTTGAGTTTTGGTTTTGCAGGTTGTTAAATTATTTATGGGTTTTTTTTGGAAAAAACTAATAATAACTTACTGAACTTTCAACCCACCAGTGGTTTGTTCAACTAAAGCCGTTTTCAGACATGAACTCTGGGGAAATGTCCGGACAATTGGATCCCGACATTTTCCAGAGTTTGGCTTTCACTTCCTGCCGCATGCCTATTTATCTCATTTTACTTAGGGGCTGCCAGGAAATGTCTAGGGGAACTGGCCCTCACATTTGCATTCTCACATACTGGAAATTTTCAGGAAAACATCTGGGCTTCAGTGACTGTCTGAAAGTAGGTTAAAAGTTCTGCTGCCTTGTATCTTTTCCTCTATCAACACCTTCCCACTACTATCCCCTCTTTCTTGCTGCATGAGCATTCATTGCCTACCCGGCACACCCAGTGAAATTCCATTTGACTGAAGGTTCACAGGGAAGTGCCACTCAAACTGCACCGCACACGCCTAATAGTGGGTGTCAGAAGGAAAATAAATTACGATAATAAGGACAGTGGTGCAAAGGTTAGGATAACAGGCAACTTGAATGATATCCCGCTTGCAAGGACGCTACTGTTGAACAAGCCCAGGCATTGCGTCATCCGAGAAAAAAAACCATTGGGATGAGGAGAGGAGTAGTAAGATTAAATGATAGTGTAGGAGACAGGATGAAGATGAGAAATTGTGGAGCAGGTAAGAGATCTTTTTTTAGATTTAACAGATATGTGCTGATATGAGCTGAACGAGCTCACATGCCATCAAATTCTAATCACTGCAAAGACAGGATGTTGGGTTCTCTCACACGCACGGCACGTCAGTACCTGAACGCAGAGGTACAGTCATAGGATACACATCATTGCGGTCAGAGAGTTAACAAGTGCCGGCACGGTGACTAACGCCATCGCACTTTTGTCAATGTTTAAAGTTGCAGTTGGAGAGCCACTCAGTCTATATGCTATGGGTGAATCACTGCCTTAAAATGCCTTGGTTTGCACGAAAGGCTTACATCTGTACATCTTAAATCAATCATGAGTTTCACTAAAAGTACTTTGAAGTTTCAATCAAAGTGCTATTGCACAAAGAAGAGGGAAAAAAATCAAATGGAAAATTCAATTAATCAGCATTTCTTTCATTTCATAAAAAAAGATAAATTCCAAAGATTAAGACTCATTAAGACATTTCATTACTTAATGTGGGACGATGAAAAATATGTTTCCTGGAGAAGAAGATTTCCAAAATGATAATTAGTGGAGGCACTACAAAGGGGGAGACGGAGCAAAGACTCTAATCACACCTGCAGGACAATGTGTTTTGTCAGTGAAACTTCCACCAGAGGAAAAAATAAAAAAGCAAAGTAGCTAATTAACTTTAATTGTGCTCAGAAAATGACTGACGCATGATGTCCCCACAGGACGCAAACAAACATGCCGAGGCCCATTTCACCGCCCCCCTCCTCTTTGCCTCCCCCCTACCATCCCTCCGAAGAGTTGTCTGACATATGCTGGTTGCACATGAGTGCTCTTCTGAGGGGCAGAGCGGGGAATCTTTGGAAAGGCAGAGAGGCCTGGGGATGGGGGAGACAGGCGGGGAGCCAAGGGTCCTGTGCCCGTAACTCAGCCATCCTGGTGGTGGTGGAGGACTACGACAACTGGCTGCGTAAAACCTGAGGGGGGTGCAGAGGGATGTGCTGGTGTGCCATCCCAATTGCTGCTCCATTGGGGGTGGGTTTCTAATCAGATTTACGCATGCTTAACTAAGCCCATCGCCTCGCTACGTTCACCTCAGAGTCCCGGGAGAGCAGGAGGGGAGAGCAGAGGTACATACCGTAACACGGCACATCACAGGGCTGAGAGGAGCTTATTAGTGTGAGCTTCGGTAATAAGTGGAGGTATGGCAGAGCAGTCATGGCATAGGAAAGACAATCATCGGGGCAGAGTGTGCCCTTAAAGATTGAAGTGTGAAAATGAGTGCTCTGCCAAACATAATGGACAGAGAATGGTATAAAGGCTGTGGATACAGCCATGATAAAATGCTTACTTGTTTCTAGGTTGGCAGATATATGGTAATAATCTTCCTTTTAACTCCCCTCTCATTAATAAACAATTCTGTACGATCTGCAGTTGAAACTCTTATGTTATACAAGATTTTAATCTTATTTTCTCTCATGTAAACATGAGCACTAAAATTTTATCATGTTCTTTGTGCAAGCAATCCCCTGTGCCTGTATATAATTAAAAAAGATGGAAGTATAAAAAGAAACAATGGGTACTTTTATTTTGGTGAAATCCCCAAGAGTATAACTATTCTGTTTGATACTAGAAGTAGAAGCAGATACTAAAATTGACCGCCTGGAAAAAGGATTTGAAAAAAGCCAGAAATATATTGTTCTTCCTCCCAAAATTGGACCCCACAACACTGCATGACACTCACCACAAGCCAGAACAAAAGCAAGCAGCAATGTGCAGTTAGAAACATGGCATCTGCTTTGTGCAGCTCAAGGCTGTAAATCCACAGCATCAAAGATGGTATTGGGTAATGGTCTGAGCTGCTGTGTAGAAGGAGCACATGGGGACGGAACAGATGCAATCTCCTTCACTTCGCTTGATTCAATACCTAAACTCTTCCTCTTTTGGCTGAGTTTCTTTCATTCACCACCTTTCATCCCTCCTTCTATCTTTCTCTCAGCTGGTACTCCTTCATCTCTCCACAGGCGCAGAGGCTTTAGCTGCCACGGCTGCCACTCTGGCCACGCAAGGAGCGAGTGGCGTGTGGGAATACAGACTGACAGCAGAGTTACAGTTACAGACTTCTGAAGGAAAGAGGACGACATGCATAAAAATGGGTGGGAACGGCAGGTCCAGACAGACGGCAAGAGAAAGAGAGGGGACAGTCGGAGAAATGGGCAAACCCTCTCCTCAGCCCCTCCAGGGTTTTGGCCGGCAGCCAGATCATCCATCAATAGCACTCAGGGAAATGGAGAGGGAGGAAAGGAAAGAACGGGAGGGGAGAGAAGCGGGAAAGACGAGTGCAGCGGAGGGAGATGGCGAAGTAAGGAGGCACAGGAAGAAGATGCAGCTTTAACGATACGGAGAGCTGGAGAGGATGGGTGGGAAAGGACAGGGGGAAGGAAAAGAGGGGTGGTGATGGAAACGGAGGGAGAGAGGGAGGGTTTGGGTGACAGATACTGTAGATAGTTGAGACAGACAGGGCAGAGGACAGGAAGGACAAAGCGGAAAAGAGGGAGAGGGTGAGAAAGAGGGAGACAGAGATGGATGGAGGGA